TCTTTTAACTTTAGAAATCAGATTTAAGCTTTTCTACTAACTATCTTTTATTTTCAGGAAGTTTAATATCCTCTTTAATTTATCCATTATCAAGCAAAAGAATGATATAATCATCACCAGAAATATCAATTAATTAGTATTCCAACTATTAAACATAAGGAATTTTAATAGGTTAGATTTTAGATTGAAAAATTTATTCATATTTTTATCCTGTAAAAATATCATTACCAGTAATTTAATAAATAGGATTAAACTTCCTCAACGCCTATATTTGTGTTATCCTGCAAGGCATACTACATAGAATTGCATAATCATTTATCTTTAATTTCTGTACTTCTATAAAAAAAAAAGGTGAAGAATTTGTCTCTCTTGATTCACTATTATTTTCAGATTACATTTTTAATAAATTATTTACAATTAAAAAACCAATCTTATTTTTCTTTTCTTAAAAATATTACACAGTCATCCTTCAAATCAAAAATTTAAAATTAACTTTTGTCTCAATAAAAGTGATTTCAGAATAAATAAATTCTTATATTAAAATAGATTGACTATTCAATTATGAAAATTAAAAAGTTTATCAAAGTCAATTTACATTTAATATTTTTGAATTGTAAATAATTATTAAAAATTTTTAATAATTTAATTAAATTAATTGCATTATTACCCAAAATTAATCTTTGACAAAAATCAATTTAAAGTAAAAATTGAATTTTATGATAACATTTTAAAAATTTTATATAATGTTTTTGTTTATAAAAACAAACATGACAATTTTCATAAAATATTTATTATTTGAAGTAATATATTAAATAATTTTTAATTCAAAAAATATTTAATTGTTTTAAACATTTATATGTATATATATAATTTGAAATTATTTTCCCTATTATCAGATCATTCATTTATTTAATAAATATTTCTTCAATATTTTATATTTAGTATCATATTTGTTCTAAACTTACTTTCCAACAATTCATCTCCATTTAGCTAGTTAAGACTAATTATTTTTAAAAGGTATTTTAAAATATTACAAATTTAATATTTTATTAAGATTTTAAATATCTTCAAAATTACCTTAAATTAAGATTTAAAGTGGAGAGAGTAAGACATTTAGCTATTTCGGAAGCTACTGCTTTCGCCCCATCTGGGCCTATATCGTTTGATCTAATTAAAATTTACACAAATACTTAAATAAATATATATTCTTTTATTTTTTGATTTTTTTAATTATTTATTTAAACTATAAATTGAGAAAATGTGTAAAAAATTACTATAGACCAAGGCTTAAAGTGGAGAGAGTAGGACATTTAGCTATTTCGGAAGCTACTGCTTTCGCCCCATCTGGGCCTATATCGTTTGATCTAATTAAAATTTACACAAATACTTAAATAAATATATATTCTTTTATTTTTTGATTTTTTTAATTATTTATTTAAACTATAAATTGAGAAAATGTGTAAAAAATTACTCAAGACCAAGGGTTAAAGTGGAGAGAGTAGGACATTTAGCTATTTCGGAAGCTACTGCTTTCGCCCCATCTGGGCCTATATTGTTTGATCTAATTAAAATTTACAAAAATACTTAAATAAATATATATTCTTTTATTTTTTGATTTTTTTAATTATTTATTTAAACTATAAATTGAGAAAATGTGTAAAAAATTACTAGAGGTAAAGGCTTAAAGTGGAGAGAGTAGGATATTTAGCTATTTCGGAAGCTACTGCTTTCGCCCCATCTGGGCCTATATTGTTATTACTAATTAAAATTTACAAAAATACTTAAATAAATATATATTCTTTTATTTTTTGATTTTTTTAATTATTTATTTAAACTATAAATTGAGAAAATGTGTAAAAAATTACTGAAGAGCAAGGGTTAAAGTGGAGAGAGTAGGACATTTAGCTATTTCGGAAGCTACTGCTTTCGCCCCATCTGGGCCTATATTGTTATTACTAATTAAAATTTACAAAAATTTATGATTCCGAGTTTTTAAATGAAAAAAAATTTTAATAATATTAGTGATAAAATATTATGATTAAAAATAAAATTACAAATACAGATTAGCTATCTTGCAATATTAAAAATGAGAGGTAATCTATTTTTAGGTAAAAAAAATATTAAATGATTAAAACTGCAATTTCTCGTCTAAAAGTTCCTTGCTCATTAAAAAAAAGCATATAAATTTAAGTTTTATTCTCTTATTTTTGGAAGTTTTTTTTCAAATGTGAATAACAATAATTCGAGAAATTACAGCAGATAAATATATTTACATTTTTCAAAGAAGTAATTTCTTTAGAATAAAACTAATATCCATATTTTTAATGCAGGTCAGCAATAATATAAGATAAATTCTTTCTTTTTTCTTGATTAAATGTAACAGTATTTAGAATTATGTCATAGATTTTTGTGTTTCTTTTTATCAATTCGTTTTTTACAAGATAACTTGGTTCAAATGGAATTTTAAAGCCATGTGGGTAGTCAAGATTTTTTTATTTAAGAGATGGTTCCAATGTTTCAAAATTGTCAATCACAGCTAAACAAACTCCTAGTGAAAATATTTCGCTCTATTGTATTTTAAATAAATCAAATATTTAATAAAATTATTTATTATTTATTTTACCTAGAATGTATATAGTAAGGTGTTAAATGTCTCAGGTGATATATATCCAAGAGTGCCACACTTTTTATTATACAATTAATTATTTTTTTTAATTAAAAATAATTTACTGCTCCTTTAATAGGTTTGTAGTCTTTAACAAAATTTCTATTAAGTTTAATCCAATGGTAATACATTTTTCTTGCTTAATCAAAGTCAGCTAATGACAAAAAAATTTATTTAGAAAAAAAAAGATAAATATATAACTATAGATTTAATTACTTAGCTTTATGATTGGAACTTAAGATTAACTATCTAGGTAAAGGATATTCTCAAGTTTAATATCTCTATGGACAATTTCATTGTAATGTAAGTAGTTAATAACATCAATTACTTAAATAGCTATTTGCATTTTCTCTTCATCATTGAGCTAAATCTTATCTTTCTTCAATCTGTTAAAATATTGCTTTAGGTTACCTTATAAAATCAAAATAAGTAATTTATTAACATTTTCCTATTTTTAATTTATTCAATACCTGAACATTTTTCAATTTCATATACAACAAAATCCTCTTTCTTGGTAACATCTAAGTAAAAGAAACCATAGAACTTGATTACAAGAGGCATTTAGCAATCTCTGATTATTCCGATTTCTCGAACTATTTCATGCTTGGATGAAACTCTCTAGATTTTTAAAGCTGAGTGTCTTTTTTATGATTTGTTGTAAACTCCAAGAATTAAACCTGTAGCCCCAACAGAAATGAACTCGAAATTAGAATCGTATTAAGTGTTTTTTGAGAGTAAATCGAGAATAATCTGATATTCAAAGATTTCAAAAGGCTTTTCTTTCAATTATTTGAATTCTTAAATTAACTTTTCAAATTTTTTATCCTAAAATACATTTTTTATTTATTTTAAAATTAATTAATAAACTATATTAATTAATTAAATTTAATAATTAATTACCTTATAGATTTAAGAAAGTTAAAGGAGTTCAATTTCTTAATTCTTTGATTTTTCTACTATACTCTTCTAAATTTAAGAGAGTTATTCTGCTTTTTTTTGAAGTTATTTCTTTAGAATAAAAAAAAATAAATTTATGAGTTATAAAAATAATAAAATTTACCCTATTTAATATAGAGAAAATCTCAACATCTAGGTATTGTTAATTCTAAACTATGAACTGAATGAGTAGTTCTACAGGAGGAATACGATTATTAGGATTAAATTCTATACATTGCTTTGCTATCTTGTAAATTTAAGAATATCTATTTATCTAGAAGCTTGAGAAAATATTTCCAGTCTAAATTTCAAGCTTTTGCTAATTTGTTGTTTTTGTGAAATCGAAGGTATCAATATTATCTAGCTCTAATAGCACTAAACCAAGAGAAAATATATCTGACTAAATTATTAAAACAGTTTTTTATTTTACTTATTTGTTTATGATGATATAAATCATTTTTGAAAGAAGATTTGCAATATTTTAAAAATAATAAAGCTTTTGATCAAAAAAACAAAAAGAAAATTAAGTAAATAAATAATTTACAGCTTTCTTGAATATTCCTTAATCTACTTCTGGTGCACTGTAAGATTGAGTTCCTTTCTATAATTAAACAAAAAATATAGAAAAATAAACCAAAAGAATTTTAAATACGAATTTGGAAAAGGAGATTCTAGATTTGTTATACTCTAGTGCAGATGCAAAAGCTAGGTCGCCTTTTATTTTTTATAAAAATTGAAGATATAGAATACCTTAAAAAGAAAGTTTTTTGAAGGAATTTAAAAATTTATTGAGACTATTATTAATTAAAGAGCATTTAAAAACATTATTTTTAAATTTAAAAAAATTTAAATGTATTTGTTTAGTTAAGAAGTTTTTATTAATTAAGATAAAAATTTTATTAAAAGTTTAAATTTGTGTTTTTAAATAAAATTATCAAAATTTTCATTAAAACAGTACTATAATCCATAGAAGAAACGAAGAATATTAATTTAAACCATAGTTAATTTAACCTTCAATAAAATTTCTTCAAACGATTATAAATAAATTCAATTTTAAATTGTAATTTATTTATTTTATTTCCATTAAATTTTAGATTAAATTTTTAAAAATGTTTATTCTATCAGTTTATTTGATCAATCATTTATAAAAATATAATCAAGCTATCTAAAATTGAAAAACAGCCTTTATTCATCAAAAAAATGAAAATTATTTATGGAATTTATTCAAGTATTAAAAAATGTTTATTTTATAGGTTAAATAAGTTAAATTAGAATAAAAAAAGTTAAATTTTTTGATATTTTTTATTTAGTTATTAGTTTTTATGATAGACTTATAGCCTTTTTTTATTGAATTTATGATTTTAAACAAAATTGTTTAAAATCTATATTTCTAAAACAAATTTAGATTAATTAGTAAGAAAATTCAATTAAATTCCTGTGATTTTTAAAATTTTTAAAGATTCATACTCTTGTAAATAGATCTTACTCATATATTAAAATCAAAATAAAAAGACTTTGAAACAAAGCAAAAAAAAAAATAAAATTACATAATTTAACCAATGGATAACCCTATGTATTGAATGATAGCAAGAAATTAGATGGTTTTATGTCTCTATGAACAACATCAAATCTATGCAAGTAAGCAATCGAATCTAGCATCTAGATCATCATAATTTCCTTAATTTAGTCATTTGGATAACTATTCTATTTCCTGCATTGAGTGAAAAAGGTGTCTAAATTTGCTATTTATAATAATAAATTTTAATTTTTATACAAAAAATATTCTTTTCTTCTATTAAAAGGAAATTTTATGGTGAAAAATAAAAATATATTATTTCGCTAACTGATTTGTATGCTTTTTTATTTTTAAAATTAATTGATAAAAAAAGCTTTAATTATTTAAATAAAAGATTGTTTATTTTAAGCATTTTATTTAATGAAATTAAAAATTCTACTTTATTTAACTAAGAAAAATTTTAAAAAAGAATATGCTTATCTTATTATAAGTTTTGTTTGTCAGTTGTTAAAATAAATATAAAACCTTTATTGTTTATAAAGATGGCAAAAAATTAGATGACTTATTTTGGTTTATAAAATTTTGTAATTTTAGTTCATTTATATATTCAAATGAATTTTGAATAACATTAAATGTTAGTTTTTTAATAATTTCATTAATAAATGAATGAAGAAATTCAGCTTAAGAATTAATTAAAAAAATCAATAGACTTTAAAAAATATGTGATTTTATTTATTTTACTGAATTTTGAATACAATAAATTTTACTTTATTAATAATTTCATTAATAAATGAATGATGAAATTCAGCTTAAGAATTAATTAAAATAATCAATAGACTTTAAAAAATATGCGATTCTATTGATTTTACTTAGCGAATAAATGCTAACATAAGAAAAGGTAAAACAATAAAAAGAATGTAATATTATAAATAGAAATTCATAATAAAAACTCAATTTTCTTAATAATTATGTTTGGATTTGCTATACAAATTTGAATTAAATTTTTATCTAAATAAATATTTAAGTAGTCTTTTGATTCTATATAAAACATTAACATTAATGTAATTATTTAAATAACTAATTTTTAAAAAGAGGAACCAAATTTACTAATTATTCTTATAAATTAATTTATTTGAGCTTATAATTTATCAGATTTAACTTTTGTTTTCTAAATGCAGGATATTTTAATACAATATTTCCTTTTAAATTTATTTTTCTTAAAATTAAAAAAAGTAAACAGAGAAAAATGAATAAAAATATTTAAAAATAATATAATTATTTAGAAGATGTATTTTATTATTTTAATTTTAAATAATTATAAATATTTAATTTATCAAATCAAAAGCTTTTGAATTCTGAGATATCTTCTCACAAGTATCTGAATATCTTTTAGAATAAAAATCTTTATAAATTCTTCTTTAAATATTTCAACAAGTTTTAATTTATTTTTACAATAAATTCAATATTAATATGATTATGTTTATTCATTATTTATTTTTGATAATTAAATTTTAATTATTTATTTTTTCAACTTTGAATTAACATATTAGCTTTTAAAGTATTCTTTTTTTCATATAGGTTTATTAATTTAAAGATTTTCTTAAAAATATAAAAAAAGGAATTATAAAATTGATTCAAATTCTGCTTAATACCTAAGTTCTTGTGTAGCAAATGTGCTAATCTATAAATTTTGGCAATCGATTTTGAGTATAATAGTTATTTTATTTATCTTTTTTTCTTTATGTATAAATTATTAAACATAAAAATTCTTATTTGATAAGTTTAATTAATTTAGCTAATTTTATATGATTTTCTATTCTTTGATTTCTTTATTTTTTTAAATTTTTAGCCTTTTTAACCTTTTTTAGCCTTTAATTTTAATTTAAAATAATTCTTTTTTTAAGACTTAAATTCAAATTCTATCCCATTTAAATTAAATTATTTTTCTAATGATTATAAAAGATATAATTATTTTGATGACAAAAATATATCATACTTTTTTAATGATTTATAAAATTGTAATAATCTTTCTAATTTTGCATTTAATCTTAGGTAAAAATCTTTTTTATAATTACTAATAATTTATTGTTTTTTTCAGCATGATAAATTTCAGAAATAAATATTATTTTATTAAAGAACTTGTTTGATTGCCTCTAATTATACATTTATTCTTTTAAATTTATACTTTCTTTTATAATTTTTACATAAATTATTTATTTTTGAACTTTACTTTTTAAATCCTACAGAATTAATAAATAATTTAAAAAAAACTAAATATTTTTCACAAAAATTGAATCGAGGAAATTCTATATCGGTTCTTGTTTGGCAAAGATTTCTAATTTCTCAATTTTGAAACTTAATATCTGGTAAAAATATTATTTTACTTTAATAATTATTCTTATTTTTATTTACCGTATTACCTCGATAATAAAAACGAACGAGAAACGAGGTATAGCTAAAATCCTCATTTTATATAAATTAATTCAAAATAAAAAATTTAAAAATATGGGTGCTAATATAGGAGTGAGTATCTACAATATATTTTTTTAGAATGGCACAAATTAAGTAAGAATATTTAAAAAAGAAAACCAATAATTTTTTTAATAATCAAAATTATTAATTTCTGATCATAATTAATTAATAAATAAATAAATAACAAAAGAAATTTAAATGGGAAATAAATAAAAAAAAAGGGAATAATAGAATACCTCTTTAAATATTCTATAAGATGTAACCATCATTTTTAATTTTATTTATTATTATAAAATCTTTTTTTTTTACAAACAGTTAATGAAATCTAACTTAAATAATCTAACTCATATTGACTTACAATTAAAGTAAGAAATATATAAATATTTATTTATTCATTCATTCATTCATTAATTCATTCATATTTAATCATAAATTTTTCAAAACAAGCAATATTTTTTTTCATAAAAATAAATATTTTAAAATTTTTTATTAAAAAATTAAGAATAAATAAAATTTAAAACATTTTATTCATTAATTAATTAATTTATAGATAAATTAAATTCTTTTGTTATTATTTATAAAATAAATAGAAATTGTACTCTTAGTAATGAACAAGTTGCTTAACTCAACAATTCTTTAGTTTAATGTTAAAAATTAAAATCTTTAGTATTAAATCTTAAGTAATCAATTAACTTTATTATCATAAATTACTTAATTAATTTTTGCTATGAATCTAACATGTAGTAAGGAAAATATTTCAAATGATTAGATAAATTAATTATTTACTAAATATCCCTGCTTAAAGGAATTTGTTGAAACTGGTAATGGTGTGAGGTAAATAAATATATTTTTTATTTTATTAAATCTTAATATATCCTACAAATTGTTTTATAAAGTATAACATTATCTTCTTACCCTAGTTATTTCTACCATTTATTAAAAGCTTAAAGTTTGAATCTTAAATAATTTTAAATAAAATATTAATTTATATATGTTAATTTAATAATTTAAATAAATTAAAATAGCTTTAAATTTATCTTATTTAAATAGCAATGATTAAATATACTCTCAAATTTTGTTTTTCCTAAATACTTATTACAAAGGAAATCACGATTGTCAATAACTTAGGTAAAATAGAACTAACTAACTATTGGTATAGAATTGATTTATTTTTAATTTGAAAGATTAAATAATATTGAAGCTTAAGGAAATATACTATTAGAAGAAACTATGAGCAATCTAATTAATCTTAACATTTTATAGCTAAATTTAGAGTATAATTTATTTATTTTTTAATATAATTCATCTTTATTTAAAACTCATTAAAATTTTTCATTATCTAAACTAAATTATATTCAAGAATATTTTATAATAAAAGCGGAAATTAATTAGGAGATGAAGATGCAGTTTGCATTAGCTAGGTATTACGTAACTGTAAATCACTTAATAACTTAAATCTGCAGCTTTGGTAATTTCATTTGAATTATATTAAGCATATTCAGTTAAATTTATTTATTTATTGCATTATTTAAAAGGCACATAATTATTTTTTAAATATCTTTTTTTGGAAAGGAAAAATAAAATAGGTGATAGAGGGATATCAAGTATTGCAGAAGGTATTAGTAATTGTGCTAAACTCACAACTTTAACTTTAAATGCAGTGTAAACTTTATTTATTGATTAACGTTTATAAATTAAAAAATTATTTTTCAATATAATTTTATATCTAATTGTAAATAAATAAAAACTTAAAAAAGTTCAAATTAATTTGGAAAAGAAGGTGCATTTTCTTTAAGTACGACATTAATTAATTGTAAAATGTTGACTCATCTAGATATGAACCTCTCGTAATTCATTTTAGTTTTTTTAAAGGATAAATTTAAATTAATTGTAGACAATTAAATAAATTTTTTAATCAATTTAATCCTTAAACATTTTTTAAATTGTCAATAATTTTTATTTATATATTCTTTTATGTTTTATTAGTAACAATTAAATTGGAGAAGAAGGAACATCAGCTATTTGTTAAGTACTAGGTAGCTGTTAATTACTAGAGAATTTAAAATTTGAGTTATGGTAATTTTTATTTTTCATTTTTTCAAAATTAAAAAGATTTTAATATTTTTTTAGTAATTTTAAAATGTTTTAAATTAATCAAGTAAAGGATTATAAATTTATTTATTAGTATATTATTTTTTATTATAAAAGTAATAATCAAATTGGGGATAGAGGAGCATATTGTTTTGGAACAGCATTAAGTAACTTACAGTTACTTTTTAATTTAAAATTGTGTCTTAGGTAATTTTAATTTTACAATTAATTTTGATGATCTAAAAAAAATTTATGAAATTTTTATTTTTGAGATTGTTTTAAAATAATTTATTTGTTAATAATTTGATTTTTTTTTTTTTAGTAAATGTCTTTTTTTATTATTTAAAAAAAGTTAAATTTTATACATTAAGTTTATTTATGGTTTTAATTATTTTCTAAAATAAATTTAAATATTTAATTAAACAATTTATTTTATTTAAAAAGTGGAAATTAAATTGGAGATTATGGAGCATAAAATATTGGATTAGGCTTAAGAAAATGCACTCAACTTACTAATTTAATATTTGATATAAGGTAAATTTTATTTATTATTTTTGATAAAATATGAAAAAGTTTTTTATTTTAACTTAATTAAAAATACTCTAATTTATAATATGTCTTAAATTTTTAATTAAACATGATTTGCATTTATAAAAGCTAAAATTAAATTGGGGGTGATGGAACTTCTACTATTGGAACAGTACTTACTAACTGCAAATTCCTAACTAATCTCAAATTTTACATTTAGTAAAATTATATTCTTTTATTTATTGATTACTAAAAAAAGTTTGAATTTATAATTTGATTTTAATTTCAAAACTTATTTAAATAGTTAATAAATTAATTTATTTTGTTTGAAAAGGGGCAATAAAATTGGTGATAAAGGAGCAATAAATATTGGATTAGGTTTGAGTAACTGCTCACAACTTACAAATTTAGAATTTATTATAAAGTAAATTTATTTCATATATAACTTTTTAAAAAAATTATGTCTAAGCATATTATTCAAACTGAATTAAAAAAACTTTAAATTTATAAAATATTTTTAATTTTCTATTAAACATTATTTGCATTAATACAAGCTAAAATTAAATTGGGGGTGAGGGAACTTCTACTATTGGAACAGCATTTGGTAACTGCAAATCCCTTATTAATCTCAAATTTTACATTTAGTAAAATAATATTATATTTATTTATTTATTTATTGATAACTAAAAAAGTTTGAATTTTTTAATATATTTTGATTAAAATTTCAAAACAAGTTTAAATAGTTAATAAATTTATTTATTTTGTTTAAAAAGGAACAATTTTATCTGTGATAAGGGAGCATAAAATATTGGATTAGGTTTGAGTAACTGCACTCAACTTACAAATTTAGAATTTGACATAAGGTAAATTTATTTATTTCAGTTATAACTTTTAATAAAAATTATGTTAAAGTATTTTATTAATGCTAAATTAAAAAACATAATTTGCTTTTATAAAAGCTACAATTAAATTGGGGATAATGGAGCTTCTACTATTGGTACAGCACTTGGTAACTGCAAATTCCTAACTTATCTCAAATTTTATATTTAGTAAAATTATAATTTTTTAATTTATTTATTTATTGATAACTAAAAAAAGTTTGAATTATTTAATATACTTTGATTTAAATTTCAAAACAAATTTAAATAGTTTATAAATTAATTTATTTTGTTTTAAAAGTGGCAATCATATTGGTGATAAAGGAGCATAAAATATTGGATTAGGTTTGAGTAACTGCACTCAACTTAAAAATTTAGAATTTGACATAAGGTAAATTTATTTTATTTATAACATTTAATAAAAATTATGTCAAAACATTTTATTCAAACTAAATTAAAAATTGAAAAAATGTCCTAAATTTTTAATTAAACATGATTTGCATTTATAAAAGCTAAAATAAAATTGGGGATGATGGAGCTTCTACTATTGGTACAGCACTTGGCAACTGCAAATTCCTAACTAATCTCAAATTTTACATTAAGTAAAATTATATTGTTTTTATTTATTCATTGATAACAAAAAAAAGTTTGAATTATTTAATATATTTTGATTTATATTTCAAAACAAATTTAAATAGTTAATAAATTGATTTATTTTGTTTAAAAAGGGGCAATAAAATCGGTATTAAAGGGGCATAAAATATTGGATTAGGTTTGAGTAACTGCACTCAACTTACAAATTTAGAATTTGATATAAGGTAAATTTATTTCATTAAAAACTTTTGATAAAAATTTTGTCAAATCATTTTATTCAAACTAAATTAAAAAACATTAAATTGAAAAAATGTCTTAAATTTTTAATAAACATTTTTTACTTTTAAAAAAGCATAAATTTTATTTATGATGATGGAGCTTCTACTATTGGTACAGCACTTGGTAAATGCAAATTCCTAACTTATCTCAAATTTTACATTTAGTAAAATTATAATTTTTTAATTTATTTATTTATTGATAACTAAAAAAAGTTTGAATTATTTATTATATTTTGATTTAAATTTCAAAACAAATTTAATTAGTTAATATATTGATTTATTTTGTTTGAAAAGGGGCAATTTTATCGGTGATAAAGGAGCATAAAATATTGGATTAGGTTTGAGTAAGTGCACTCAACTTGCAAATTTAGAATTTGACATAAGGTAAATTTATTTATTTCATTTATAACTTTTAACAAAAATGATGTCAAAGCATTTTATTCAAACTAAATTAAAAAAACAATAAATTGAAAAAATGTCTTAAATTTTTAATTAAACAAAATTTGATTTTATAACAGCTAAAATTTAATTGGGGATGATGGAACTTCTAATATTATTAAAGCACTTGGTAACTGCAAATTCTTAACTAATCTCAAATTTTACATCTAGTAAAATTATATTATATTATATTTATTTATTCATTGATAACTAAAAAAAGTTTGAATTATTTAATATACTTTGATTTAAATTTCAAATTGATTTATATTTTTATTTTGTTTAAAAAGGAGCAATTAAATCTGTAATAAAGGAGCATAAAATATTGGATTAGTTTTGAGTAAGTGCACTCTACTTGCAAATTTATAATTTAACATAAGGTAGATTTATTTGATTAAAAACATTTAATAAAAATTATGTTTTATTCAAGCTAAATTAAAAATACATTAAATTGAAAAAATGTCTTAAATTTTTAATTAAACATAATTTGATTTTATAAAAGCTACAATTTAATTGGGGATAATGGAACTTCTAATATAGTTAAAGCACTTAGTAAATGCAAATTCCTAACTAATCTCAAGTTTTACATTTAGTAAAATTATATTATATTAATTTATTTATTCATTTATAACTAAAAAAAGTTTGAATTAATTAATATATTTTGATTTAAATTTCAAAACAAATTTAAACAGTTAATAAATTGATTTATTTTGTTTAAATAGGGGCAATAAAATCGGTGATAAAGGAGCATAAAATATTGGATTAGGTTTGAGTAACTGCACTCAACTTACAAATTTAGAATTTGACATAAGGTAAATTTATTTCATTTATAACATTTAATAAAAATTATGTCTAAGCATTTTATTCAAACTAAATTAAAAATACATTAAATTGAAAAAATGTCTTAAATTTTTAATTAAACATGATTTGCATTTATAAAAGCTAAAATTAAATTGGGGATGATGGAGCTTCTACTATTGGTACAGCACTTGGTAACTGGAAATTCCTAACTAATCTCAAATTTTTCATGAAGTAAAATAATATTGCATTTATTTATTGATAACAAAAAAAAGTTTGAATTATTTTATATATTTTGATTTATATTTCAAAAAAAATTTAAATAGTTAATAAATTGATTTATTTTGTTTAAAAAGGGGCAATAATATAAGTGATAAAGGAGCATAAAATATTGGATTAGGTTTGAGTAACTGCACTCAACTAACAAATTTAGAATTTGGGATAAAGTAAATTTACATCACTTTTAACTTTTTAAAAAAATGAGTTAAAGTTTTTAAGATGTTATTAAAAATTTTTATTTTTATTTTATAAGTAATAATGAGAAGCTTCTAAAATCCAGAGAAATTGTCAACTGTAAAAATATAAAGCTATTGAAGCTATTTATAAGGTAACTACTTTTTTTTTTGTTTATAATTTTAAGTAAAATTTTTTTAATTATCTAAAAAATAAATTTATATTTATTAAAAGTGAGTTACCTGAATAAAGAATAATAGAAATCAAAAGATTAGCTTAAAAAGTAAAAAGATTAGTAATATTAAAAATATATTGAATTTACTAATGAATAATTAAATATATTTATTTATTAACAGTAAATAAAAGATTGAATAAAAAAATTGTATAATCTTTGTATATTTTTTGTAATTAAAACCATTTTCGGAAAAATTAATTGATTTAATATCATAGTTTAATTATTATTAAAACAAATAATTAAAATTTTTTATATATTAAGGATTTTTTTATAATGAAAACTACATAAAATCAAACCGATTTCTTTATATATTATTAAAATATTATTTTCAAAAAATATAATTTGAAATAATAAAAAAATAAATATTAAGAAATTCTACTATTTATTATAAAAATTATTTTCCTGATTATCAGATCAGTCATTTATCTTATAAATATATTTCAATATACTATATTAATTGTCATATTTTTTCTAAACTTAGTTTCCAATAATAATTCATCTCCATTAAGCTTGTTATTACTTATTATTTTTAAAATATATTTTATTTATACAAATCAAATGTTATTTTAAGAATTTAAATTTCTTCAAAATTACTTTAAATAAAGATTTAAAGTGGAGAGAGTAAGACATTTAGCTACTTCGGAAGCTAGTGCTTTCGCCCCATCAGGGCCTATATTGTTTGATCTAATTAAAATTTACAAAAATACTTAAATAAATATATATTCTTTTATTTTTTGATTTTTTTAATTATTTATTTAAACTATAAATTGAGAAAATGTGTAAAAAATTACTAGAGGTGAAGGGTTAAAGTGGAGAGAGTAGGACATTTAGCTATTTCGGAAGCTACTGCTTTCGCCCCATCTGGGCCTATATTGTTTGATCTAATTAAAATTTACAAAAATACTTAAATAAATATATATTCTTTTATTTTTTGATTTTTTTAATTATTTATTTAAACTATAAATTGAGAAAATGTGTAAAAAATTACTATAGCCAAAGGCTTAAAGTGGAGAGAGTAGGACATTTAGCTATTTCGGAAGCTACTGCTTTCGCCCCATCTGGGCCTATATTGTTTGATCTAATTAAAATTTACAAAAATACTTAAATAAATATATATTCTTTTATTTTTTGATTTTTTTAATTATTTATTTAAACTATAAATTGAGAAAATGTGTAAAAAATTACTCAAGATCAAGGGTTAAAGTGGAGAGAGTAGGACATTTAGCTATTTCGGAAGCTACTGCTTTCGCCCCATCTGGGCCTATATTGTTATTACTAATTAAAATTTACAAAAATACTTAAATAAATATATATTCTTTTATTTTTTGATTTTTTTAATTATTTATTTAAACTATAAATTGAGAAAATGTGTAAAAAATTACTAGAGGTGAAGGGTTAAAGTGGAGAGAGTAGGACATTTAGCTATTTCGGAAGCTACTGCTTTCGCCCCATATGGGCCTATATTGTTTGGTCTAATTAAAATTTACAAATTTATGATTATAAGTTTAGAAATGAAAACAAATATTAATAATTGATATTAAATATTTTTGATTAAAAATAAAATTACAAATTAAAATTAACTATCTTGCAATATTAGAAACTAGAGGGAGTCTATTTTTATGTAAAAAATAAAATAAAAAATATGAAAACCGCAATTTCTCGTCTAAAGTGGTTTTTTTTTAAATCAATAACTTAATGGAGGTTTTTATAAAACTCTCAATTAAGGAAGTGGTTTTATTTTCAAATGCAAATAACGAGAATTGGAGAAATTACGGTAATTTAATATATTTACGTTTTAAAAAGAAGTAATTTCTTTAGAATAAAATTAATATCCATATTTTTAATGCAGATCAGCAATAATAGAAGATAAATTCTTTCTTTTTTCCTGATTAAATGCAACAGTATTTAGAATTATATCATAGATTTTTGTGTTTCTTTTTATCAATTCATTTTTTACAAGATGACTTGGTTCAAAAGGAATTTTAAAGCCATGTAGGGAATCAAGATTTTTTTATTTAAGAGATGGTTCCAATGTTTCAAAATTGTCTATAACAGCTAAACAAACTCCTAGTGAAAAGATTTCGCTCTATTGGATTTTAAATAAATCAAATATTTAATAAAATTAATTAATATTATTTATTTTACCTAGAATGTATATAACAAGGTGTTAAATATCTCAGGTGATATATATCCAAGAGAGCCACACTTTTTATTATATTCTTAATTGTTTTTTTTTTAATTAAAAAAATTTTACTGCTCCTTTAATAGGCTTGTAGTCTTTAACAAAATCTCCATTAATTATAATCCAATTATAAAACATTTTTCTTGCTTAATCAAAGTCAGCTAATTATTTAAAAAAATATATTAAGAAAAACAGATAAATATATAACTATAGATTTAATTACTTAGTTTTATGATTGGAACTTAAGATTGATTGTCTATATAAAGGATATTCTCAAGCTTAATATCTCTATGGACAATATGATTGTAATGTAAGTAGTTAATAACATCAATTACTTAAATAGCTATTTGCATTTTCTCTTCATCATTGAGCTAAATCTTATCTTTCTTCAATCTGTTAAAGTATTGCTTTAAGTTACCTAATAAAATCAAGACAAATAATTTATTTATTTTTTCTAAATTAATTTATTTAATACCAGAACATTTTTCAATTTCATACACAACGAAGTCCTCTTTCTTGGTAACATCTAGGTAAAAGAAACCATAGAACTTGATTACAAGAGGCATTTAGCAATCTCTGATTATTCCAATTTCTCGAACAATTTCATGTTTGGATGAAACTCTCTAAATTTTTAAAGCTGAGTGTCTTTTTTATGATTTGTTATAAACTCCAAGAATTAAACCAGTAGCCCCAACAGAAATGAATTCGAAATTAGAATCATATTCAGTCTTTTTTGAGAGTAAATCGAGAATAATTTGATATTCAAATATTTAAAAAGGCTTTTCTTTCAGCTATTTAAATTCTTAAATCAACATTTCAAATTTTTAATCCTAAAATACATTTTCAAATGAAATAATAAATGATATAGATCATTAAATTTAAACTTAATGATTACCTTATAGATTTAAGAAATTTATAGGAGTTCAATTTCTTATTTCTTTGATTTTTCTACTACACTGTTCTAAATTTAAGAGAGCTATTCTGCTTTTTTCTGCAATTATTTCTTTACAAAAAAAACTAATTTATGATTCATAAAAATAATAAAATTTACCTTATTTAATATGGATGAAATCTCTACATCTAAGTAGTTTTAATTCGAAGCAATAAACTGAATTAGTAAATCTACAGGAGGTATACGATTTTTAGGAGCGAATTCTATACATTGCTTGGCTACCTTGTAAATTTAAGACTGTCTATTTATCTAAAAGCTTGTGAAAATATTCCCAAACTAAATCTCAAACTTTTGCTAATTTGTTGTTTTTGTGAAATCGAAGGTCTGAATGTTATCTAGCTCTAATAGCACTAAACCAACAGAAAATATATCTGACTAAATTATTAAAACAATTTTTTATTTTATTTATCTGTTTGTTTATGGGAGATAAATCATTTTTGAAATAAGATTTGTAATATTTTTTTTTAAAAAAAGCAAATAAAAAAAAAAGGATATAAATGAAGTTAATAGCAAATATTAAACTAAATAAATAATTTACAGCTTTTTTGAATATTCCTTAATCTACTTCTGGTGCACTGTAAGATTGAGTTCCTTTCTATATTTAAATAAAAAATATAAAAAAACAAATCAAAAAGAATTTTAAATACGAATTTGGAAAAAGATATTCTAGATTTGTTGTTCTAGAGTGCAGATGCAAAAGCTAGATCACCTATAATATTTTAATAAAATTTAAGATATAAAACATAATAAAAAGAAAGTTTTTTGAAAGATTTTTAGAATTTATTGAAGCTATTGTTAATTAAAAAGCATCCAAAAACAGAATTTTATCAATTTTATTTTTAAAATTTACAAAAGTTTAAATCTGTTTGTTTGTTTGTTTGCAAATAAATATTTTATATTCAGAATTAAATAGATCAATTTAGTATAATTATTTGTTGAAAATCCTTAAGTTTAGTATAAATTATCTAAGTAACTTTAAAGTTTTTAATTTAATAAGTTAAATAATTTAGTTATTTAAAAATTAATAAATTTCTTGAATAAAACTTTAAATTATACTGAAATGATAATTTTATCTTATTTTTAGATTTAAATTTATGTAATTTAAAATTTAAGAAGCTTTTATTATGACTTACCTTAAACTTATTCTTTTAATTGATTAAATAAAAACTTAAATTATTGTTTTTTTTAACTTTTTTAAAAAGTAAAATTTGATTTTTCCCTAAGGTTTTAAATTATGGCATCTAATTAATCATGGTAAATAAAAAATAGATGGAAATTGATTGATGGATAATAGTATTTAAGATTAAAATCTAACTAGCATATAAAAGCTGGGCATTTATATAGTTTAATAAGATAAATTATAATACTAAAATTACAAATGATTTGATTGTTTTTGATGAAATTGGATGAATGTCTGAAGAGGAATTAACTTATTTATGTAAATTAAAATTTTAAATTTATAAATTTTTTTATTTTTTTTAGGCTATTTATTAAATTATAAAAGTATGAGTTATTTAAATATAAAAACAATAATTAAATCTATCTAACTATCTCTTATTAAGGTTAAAAAAACTTTTTCAAAATATTATTTTATAAAACATATAAGATATAATTATTCAAACATTTAATATTTATTCATCATTTTTCGCAACTTGTTTATCATAAGAGTAATATTTTAAAGACAACTAATCTTTTTAATTTAAGACACTTGCTTTTTACTTTCAATTTTTATTATTTATTCAATTATTCAAAACTTTTATAAAAAATTTGTGTAAATTTTAAATAAACATTAAATAAAATAAACTTTTAAATTAAAAATTTAAATTAATAAATAAAATAAAATTAGTGGAATAAAAAAAGATAAATAAATAAATCATAAAAAAGCTATCAAATAAATTCAAAGAGCTTTATTGTTTTAAATTAGTTTTTATCATTAAAAATTTCACAAATCAAAATAAATAAACTGTTATTACTCAAGATCAAGTGTCAAATTTGAGAGATTAATGTACTTTGCTAAAGCAGAACCTAAGCCTAATGCATCAATTGCACCAATTTAATTGACACTTTTTAAATATTGAAGAATAAATATATAATTTGTTAGTTAATTAGAAGGAAAAAATGAAGAAAAAAGATGAAATAATAAGATTAATGAAAAATAAAATCAAAAGTTAAAATAAAATGATGAGCTGTTAAATTAGAAAAGAAAGAACAAAAAAGCAAACAAGTTCAATAAAAAGAAATAGAAAAAATAGCTTTCATTATTGTTTTTAATTAGTTTTACCATAAAAATTTCACAATCCAATATAAATAAACTGTTCTTACCAAAGTTTAAGTGTCAAATTTGAAAGGTTAAGGCTCTTTGCTAAAGCAGAACCTAAGCCTGTTGCACCTTCATCACCAATTTAATTGCCACTTATTAAATATTGAAGAAAAAATAAATAATTTATCTGTTAATTAGAATGAAAAAATGAAGAAAATATATGAAAAAATAAGATAAATAAAAAATAAATGCAAGAGTTAAAAATAAAAGGATGAGTTAAATTAACAAAGAAAGAAGAAAAAAAGCAAGCACAATAAAAAGAAAAAGAAAAAAGAGCTTTATTGTTTTAAATTAGTTTTATAATTAAAAATATCACAATCCAAAACAAAAAAACTGTTTTTACTAAAGGTCAAGTGTCAAATTTGAGAGATAAATGCAATTTGCTAAAGCAGAACCTAAGCCTGATGTACCAATTGCACCAATTTTATTCTAACTTTTTAAATATTGAAGAAAAAATATGTCATTAAATAGTTAATTAATTAGAAGAAAAAATATGAAATATTAAATAAGATTAATTAATAAATAATAAAAGCAAAAGTTGAAAATAAAATGATGAGTTAAATTAACAAAGAAATAACAACAAAAAGCAAGCAAGCGCAATAAAAAGATAAAGAAAAATGAGCTTTATTGTTTTTAATTAGTTTTTATAATTAAAAATATCACAATCCAAAACAAATAAACATTTTTTACGAAAGGTCAAGTGTCAAATTTGAGAGATTAATGCAATTTGCTAAAGCAGAACTTAAGCCTGATGCACCAATTGCACCAATTTAATTGCAACTTTTTAAATATTGAAAAAAAATATGTCATTAAATAGTTAATTAGAAGGAAAAAATGAAGAAAAAATATGAAATATTAAATAAGATTAATTAATAATAAAGCAAAAGTTGAAAAAATAAAATGATGAGTTAAATTATTAGAGGAAAATTAAAAATAAGATTTTTAAAGTACTTGTAAAACTAATAAATACATAATAAAACAAAAGAAATATATTATAAATATAATAAAATTTAATTTTAAGTTGTATTCTGAGTGCATTTATATGTGCGAGTATTTCTATTCTATTCTATCACCAATTAAATTGTTACTTTTTAAATATTGAAAAAAAAATATGTCATTAAATAGTTAATTAGAAGGAAAAAATATGAAATAATAAATAAGATTAATTAATTAATAATAAAAGCAAAAGTTGAAAATAAAATGATGAGTTAAATTAGTAAAGAAAGAACAAAAAAAAGCAAGCAAGCACAATAAAAAGAAAAAGAAAAAAGAGCTTTATTGTTTTTAATTAGTTTTTATAATTCAAAATATCACAATCCAAAACAAATAAACTGTTTTTACAAAAGAAGAAGTGTCAAATTTGAGAGATTAATGCAATTTGCTAAAGCAGAACCTAAGCCTGATACACCCATTGCACCAATTTTATTCCTACTTTTTAAATATTGAAGAAAAAATATATCATTAAATAGTTAATTAGAAGGAAAAAATATGAAATAATAAATAAGATTAATTAACTAATAATAAAAGCAAAAGTTGAAAATAAAATGATGAGTTAAATTAACAAAGAAAGAAAAAAAAAAGCAAGCACAATAAATAGAAAAAGAAAAATGAACTTTATTGTTTTTAATTAGTTTTAATAATTAAAAATATCTCAATCCAAAACAAATTAACTGTTTTTACCCAAGATAAAGTGTCAAATTTGAGAGATTAATGCAATTTGCTAAAGTAGAACCTAAGCCTGATGTACCTTTATCACCAATTTAATTGCCACTTTTTAAATATTGAAGAAAAAATATATCATTAAATAGTTAATTAGAAGGAAAAAATGAAGAAAAAAATGAAATAATAAATAAGATTAATTAATTAATAATAAAAGCAAAAGTTGAAAATAAAATGATGAGTTAAATTAACAAAGAAAGAACAAAAAAAAGCAAGCAAGCACAATAAAAAGAAAAAGAAAAAAGAGCTTTATTGTATTTAATTAGTTTTTATAATTAAAAATATCACAATCCAAAACAAATAAACTGTTTTTACCCAAGGTTAAGTTTCAAATTTGAGAGATTAATGCAATTTGCTAAAGCAGATCCTAAGCCTGATGCATATTCATCATCAATTTAATTTTCACTTTTTAAATATTGAAGAAAAAATATATCATAAAATAGAATAAGTTGCCATATAAATTTACAAAAAGCGAGTTTTATATACCAGTTTTTACATTTTATAAAATTAAAATTTTAAATATATTTTATGAATTTTTTTCATCATTTTTGAGTTCGTAAAATTTTTAAAAATTTATATTTTCAAAAAAATGATATGCTTTTATAATATCCGATATGTATATATTATTTCAAATTTTACATTTTGTGAATTTAAAGCTTTCTAAAAACTCAAAAATAAAGCTGTTTTAAGCTAATTTATTTAGCTTTATTTATTATGTTATTAAGATATGTTACATTTCGCCTTTTAGAAATTAAATAGGCATTTCACTCTTGTTAATTAGAAGGGAAAAATGAAGAAAAAATATGAAATAATAAGATTAGTTGATAATTAATAAAATTTGCAAAGAGTGAATAAATAAGAAATCATAATAAAAAGAAAAAGGAAAATAAATAAATTAAAAGAGCTTTAATGTTTTAAATTAAGTTTTATAATTAAAAATATTGCAATCCAAAACAAATAAACTGCTTTTATTAAGTGTAAGTTTTAATAGCAAAAAATCAAGAAAAAATATCAAATAATAAAAAATAAATAATAATAATTAAAAATTGAAATAAAAATTAAGTTAAAATAACTAAAAAATTTTTATTTTAATAAAAATCAATAAATAATAATGATAATTCTTTTTTAAAAATTATTTATTTAAATAAATTGAAAATTTAATAAACAAAAATAATAATAATATTAATAATAATAATATAAATAATAATTATAAATAAAATATACGAGAGATCAATATGGAGAACTTAATGAGATAAAAGTGAAGAGCTTAAAAACTTTTTTTATTAATTTATATAAATTTAAAGGATATTAATAAAAAAATTAATAATTACTTCTTCTAATTTGTTATATTTTTTAATCTATTATAACATTTATTTTTTTATTTTCAAAAATATTGAATAGCAAGCAATTTATGAAATTTAATTAATTAATTATAAATGGATAAAAAGAACAAATAAATATTTATTTATCAAATATTAATTTATATATTTTGTTTTATGAAGAGATATATATCACAGAAAAATTAATTTAACATTCATTATTTAAACTTAATATTTGTATTCAAAATAAATACTTAAAAATATATATAGTAGGAATTAGATATTGCGAGTTATTTAGTCATATTTGAAAAAATTCTAGTAGTTAATGCTCTTTTAGAAATTTTCTTATTACTTTAAATTTTTATGATTCATTCATTTTGTAACAACTTTTATAATATATTTATGTAAATTTTTAAAAAATATTAAATAAAATAAACTTTTAAATTAAAAATTATTCCTTAAATTAATTATTAAATAAATAAAATAACATTAGAGGAAGAAAAAAGATAAAAAAAATAAATCTAATAAAAGCTATCAAATAAATTCAAGGAGCTTTTTTGTTTAACATTCATTTTTATAATTAAGAATATCACAATCCAAAACAAATAAATTGTTTTTACGAAAGCTGAAGTCTCAAATTTGATAGATTAATACAATTGGCTAATGCAGAACCTAAGCCTGATGCACCCATTGCACCAATTTAATTACCACTTTTTAAATATTGAAGAAAAAATATGTCATTAAATAGTTAATTAGAAGGAAAAAATGAAGAAAAAATATGAAATAATAAATAAGATTAATTAATTAATAATAAAAGCAAAAGTTAAAAGTAAAATGATGAGTTAAATTAATAAAGAACAAACAAAAAAAAGCAAGTACAATAACAAGAAAAAGAAAAAAGAGCTTTATTGTTTTTAATTAGTTTTTATAATTAAAAATATCACAATCAAAGACAAATAAACTGTTTTTACGCAAGGTCAAGTGTCAAATTTGAGAGATTAATGCAATTTGCTAATGCAGAACCTAAGCCTGATGCACCTTCATCACCAATTTAATTCAATCTTTTTAAATATTGAAGAAAAAATATATCGTTAAATAGTTAATTAGAAAGAAAATCTGAGAAAAAATATGAAATAATAAATAAGATTAATTAATAATAAAAGCAAAAGTTGAAAATAAAATGATGTGTTAAAATAACATACAAAGAACAAAAAAAAAGCAAGTACAATAAAAAGAAAAAGAAAAAAGTGCTTTATTTTTTTTAATTAGACCAATAAATTTTTAAATTATTAATTAGAGGCAATTTACAAAATAAATATGTCTATATATTTAATAATACAAAAACAAATAAAATTTATAAAACTAATATAAAATATTCTATTTAAGATGTATTCTGAGTGCATTTATATGTGCGAGTATTTCTATTCTATTCTGAACCAATTTAATTCAATCTTTTTAAATATGAAAAAAAAATATATCATTAAATAGTTAATTAAAAGGAAAAAATGAAGAAAAATATGAAATAATAAATAAGATTAATTAATTAATAATAAAAGCAAAGTTAAAAGTAAAATGATGAGTTAAATTAATAAAGAACAAACAAAAAAAAGCGCGCACAATAAAAAGAAAAAGAAAAAAGAGCTTTATTTTTTTTAATTAGTTTTTATAATTAAAAATATCACAATCAATGTCAAATAAACTGTTTTTACACAAGATAAAGTGTCAAATTTGAGAGATTAATGCAATTTGCTAATGCAGAACCTAAGCCTTATGCACCCATTGCATCAATTTAATTGTCACTTTTTAAATATTGAAGAAAAAATATGTCATTAAATAGTTAAATTAGAAGAAAAAAATGAAGAAAAATATATATGAAATAATAAATAAGATTAATTAATTAATAATAAATGCAAAAGTTCAAAATAAAATGATGAGCTAAATTAACAAAGAAAGAACAAAAAAAAAGCAAGCACAATAAAAAGAAAAAGAAAAAAGAGCTTTATTGTTTTTAATTAGTTTTTATAATTAAAAATATCACAATCCAAAACAAATAAACTGTTTTTACTCAAGGCTAAGTGTCAAATTTGAGAGATTAATGCAATTTGCTAATGCAGAACCTAAGCCTGATGCACCCATTGCACCAATTTAATTACCACTTTTTAAATATTGAAGAAAAAATATCTTTAAATAGTTAATTAGAAGGAAAAAATGAAGAAAAAATATGAAATAATAAATAAGATTAACTAATTAATAATAAAATCAAAATTTAAAAATAAAATAATGAACTAAATTAACAAAGAAAGAACAAAAAAAATGCAAGCACAATAAAAAGAAAAAGAAAAAAGAGCTTTATTGTTTTTAATTAGTTTTTATAATGAAAAATATCACAATCCTAAACAAAAAACTGTTTTTACGCAAGGCCAAGTGTCAAATTTGAGAGATTAATGCAATTTGCGAAAGCAGAACCTAAGCCTGATGCACCCATTGCACCAATTTAATTATCACTTTTTAAATATTGAAGAAAAAATATATCATTAAATAGTTAATTAGAAGGAAAAAATGAAGAAAAATATGAAATAATAAATAATATTAATTAATAATAAAAGCAAAAGTTGAAAATTAAATGATGAGTTAAATTAACAAAGAAATAACAAAAAAAAGCGCGCACAATAAAAAGAAAAAGAAAAAAGAGCTTTATTGTTTTTAATTAGTTTTTATAATTAAAAATATCACAATAAATGTCAAATAAACTGTTTTTACTCAAGATAAAGTGTCAAATTTGAGAGATTAATGCAATTTGCTAATGCAGAACCTAAGCCTTATGCACCCATTGCATCAATTTAATTGTCACTTTTTAAATATTGAAGAAAAAATATGACATTAAATAGTTAAATTAGAAGAAAAAAATGAAGAAAAAATATGAAATAATAAATAAGATTAATTAATTAATGATAAAAGCAAAAGTTCAAAATAAAATGATGAGCTAAATTAACAAAGTAAGAACAAAAAAAAAGCAAGCACAATAAAAAGAAAAAGAAAAAAGAGCTTTATTGTTTTTAATTAGTTTTTATAATTAAAAGTATCACAATTCAAAACAAATAAACTGTTTTTACGCAAGGTCAAGTGTCAAATTTGAGAGATTAATGCAATTTGCGAAAGCAGAACCTAAGCCTGATGCACCGATTGCACCAATTTTATTTTCACTTTTTAAATATTGAAGTAAAAATATATCTTTAAATAGTTAATTAGAAGGAAAAAATGAAGAAAAATATGAAATAATAAATAAGATTAATTAATTAATAATAAAAGCAAAAGTTGAAAATAAAATGATGAGTTAAATTAACAAAGAAAGAACAAAATCACAATCCAAAACAAATAAACTGTTTTTACCAAAGTTCAAGTGTCAAATTTGAGAGATTAATGCAATTTGCTAAAGCAGAACCTAAGTCTGATGCACCTATTGAACCAATTTTTTTCCAACTTTTTAAATATTGAAGAAAAAAATATCATAAAATAGAGTAAGTTGCCATACAAATTTACAATAAGCGAGTTTTATTTACCAGTTTTTATATTTTATAAAATTAAAATTTTAAATATTTTTTATGAATTTTTTTTCATTGTAAAATTTTTCAAAATTTATTTTTTTCAAAAAAAATGATATGTTATAATAATATATATATAGGTATGTAGATATTATTTCAAATTTTACATTTTGTGAATTTAAAGCTTTTTAAAAATTCAAAAATTAAGTTGTTTAAGCGAATTTAGCTTTATTTATTATGTTATTAAGATATGTTACATTTCGCCTATTATAAATTAAACAGGCATCTCACTCTAGTTAATTAGAGGGGGAAAATGAAGAAAAAATTTGAAATAATAAGATTAATTCATAATTAATAAAATTAACAAAGAATGAATAAATAAGAAATCATAATCAAAAGAAAAAGGAAATTAAATTAAAAGAGCTTTAATGTTTTAAATTAAGTTTTATAATTAAAAATATTACAATCCAAAAAAAATAAACTACTTTTATTAAGTGTAAGTTTTAATAGCAAAAAATTAAGAAAAAATATCAAATAATAATAATAAATAATTTAAAATTGAAATGAAAATTAAGTTAAAATAACTAAAAAATTTTTAATTTGATAAAAATCAATAAATAAATATTAATGATAATTCTATTATAAAAATTATTTATTTAAATAAATTGAAAATTAAATATACAAAAAATATTAATAATATTTTTTAATTAAATATACCTCAGATCAATATTGAGAACCTAATGAGATAAAAGTGAAGAGCTTAAAAACTTTTTTTATTAATTTTATATAAATATAAAGGATATTAATAAAAAAATTAATAATTACTTCTTCTAAATTATTATATTCTTTAATCTATTACATCATTTATTTTTTTTTTCAAAAATATTGAATAGCAATTTATCAAATTTAATTATGAGTAGATAAAAAGGAAAAATAAATATAATAATTAATTAATTAATTATCAAATATTAATTTATATATTTTGTTTTATGAAAAGATAGATATCACAGAAAAATTAATTTAACATTCATTATTTAAACTTAATATTTATATTTAAAACAAATACTTAAAAATTTAGTAGGAATTAGATATTGTTAGTTATTTATTTAGTCATATTTGAAAAAATTCTAGTAATCTTCTTAAATATTATAAAAATAATGTTTTTAAGTAGATTTTTCTGTTTTAGCTCTGTAATTTTAGGAATATTTTTTATATCTCTAATTATAGCAATTCCAGGTATTAAATTCTTATGAATGTGGAGAATTAAGAATTTAATTCCTGGATTTGCTATAAATAAAATAGATTAATAAATTTAATAATTTTATTTTGCTTTTTATTAAAAATATTTATTTTATAATTTATAATAGATTTTTATTTTGTAATATTATCAACATGTTTATTTATTTTAAAAGAAAATATTAATTAATTATTTAATAATGAAAGATTTTAAAAAATATAAAAATAAATCTAATTATAAAAATACCCCTAAATAAATCAAAATTTATTTTATGTAATTTCGCATTTTCATTATTTTTTATATCCAATCTCTAGTTCCTACTATATTTCTAATTAAACACTTTAAATAGAAATATTAAGATTTAATAACTAATGTTACGCTGACTTCTCTTACCAAAGTAAATTAAAAAATTCATAATTGATTTATTCTCTTTATCCACTAATAATTAATTAAATTTCCATGGGTTGCATTCAATATTAAAAAAAGAACAACATATAATAGATTAAATATTACTTTAGTTTAAAAGAAGTAATTATTTATTTTTTATCAATATACTTTAAAATTATTTTTATTAATATAAAAAGTTCTTAAACTCTTCATTTAAATCTCACTAGATTCTCAATATTTAACCAACGCCAATGTAAATATTTAATTTTCAGTTCATTAAAAATATTATTTTTCTAATAGAAATTATCCCCTATTTTATTTAGTACATTTTTTTTACAAATGTTTTTTTAGTTATTATGATTTAATTTTTATTTTAATAATATTTTAAATTCATTATCCATTTATTATTATTTAATATTTTTAATTCATTTTTTCCTTCTAAAACATTTATTTGATAAAAAAAGTTTATTAGTTTTGGATTGTAATTTTATATTTATAAAAATCAATTTAATAAAACTCTTATGATTTGTTTATTAGCTTAGCTTTTTATTTGATTAACTTTTCTTTTTCTTTTTTATTATGCTTTTGTTTAATTTTCATCTAGCTTTCTTAATTTAATTTGTTTTTTAATTGTAATATTTGTCAGGGGGAGGTAAATATGAGGAAATTAAAATAAGTCCTTTAAAAAAACAATCTTATCATCATAAGTTATTTATCATGGAAAGTGGTTTCCTATTATTTACCACCTCCCCATTTTTTCTTGTTATTTCATATTTTTCTTCATTTTTAAATTCTAAAATTATAACTTAATAATAATATATTTTTTCTTCAATATTTAAAAAGAGATAAAATTAATGATTAAGATGCATTAAAATATGGTTCTGCTTTAGCAAAATGCACTAATCTCTCAGATTTGACACTTCATCTTCAGTAAATTCAGTTTATTTGTTTTGGATTTTGATTAATATTTTTACTAATATTATTCAATTCAAAACAATAAAACTCTATTGATTTATTTATTTATTTGGTTTACTTTTCTTTTTCTTTTTTATATTACTTGTGTCTATTTTTATTCTATCTTTTCATAATTTAGCTCATTTTTTTTCAACACTTGATTTTATTATTTAATTATTCATTTTTTATTATTTCATATTTTTACTTATTTTTTTCCTTCTAAATAACTAATTTATAATATATTTTTCTTCAATATTTAAAAAGTTTCAATATAATTGGTGATTAAGGTTTATCAAACTTAGTTTCAGCTTTAGCAAATTGCATTAATCTCTCATATTTGACGCTTAATCTTAGGTAAATTCAGTTTATTTGTTTTGGATTATCTATCTTATCTTAATTTAACTAATTTTTTATTTTACCTTTGCTTTTATTATTTATTTATTTATTTATTCATTTCTTATTATTTCATATTTTTTCTTCATTTTTCCCTTCTAAATAACTTATTAATTAATAATATATTTTTTCTTCAATGTTTAAAAAGATATAATCCTATTCACGATTAAGGTGCGTTAAACTTAGGCTCTGCTTTAGCAAATGCACTAATCTCTCAGATTTGACACTTCATCTTAAGTAAATTCAGTTTATATGTTTTGGGTTGTGATAATTTTACTAAAAAATTTAATTTAAAACAATAAAACTCTTTTGATTTGTTTATTAGATTTCCTTTTATTTTTATTTTTTATTGCAATTGTGTCTATTTTCTTTTATCTTTTCATTATTTAACTCATTTTTTTTTTCCAACATTTGCTTTTATTATTATTTATTTATTAATTCATTTTTTATAATAAAATATTTTTTTTTTCATTTTTCACTTGTAAATAACTTATTAATATAATATATTCTCTTCAATATTTAAAAAGTAAATGTTTAATTGGTGGTTAAGGTGCATCAAACTTAATTTTTGCTTTAGCAAATTGCACTAATCTATCAAATTTGACACTTTGTCTTAAGTAAATTCAGTTTATCTATTTTGGATTGTGATATATATTTTTACTTCTTTAATTCAATTTAAAACAATAAAACTCTTTCATTTGTTTATTAGATTTGTATTTGATTTAGTTTTCTTTTTCTATATTATTTTACCTACTCATATCTATTTTTCTTAAACTTTTCATAATTTAGCTCTCTTTTTTTCAACATTTGCTTTTATTTTTTATTTATTATATTTTTCATATGTTTTCTTCATTTTTCCCTTCAAATAACTTATTAATTAAATATATATTTTTTCAATGTTTAAAAAGATCTAATCCTATTCAAGAGTAAGATGCATCAAACTTAGGTTCTGCTTTAGCAAAGTGCACTAATCTCTCAAATTTGTAACTAAATCTTAAGTAAATTCACATTATCTTTATATATTTTTACTTAATAAATTAAATTTAAAACAATAAAACTCTTTTGATTTGTTATTTTAATTTACTTTTATTTTTCTTTTTTATAGTTTTTTTTCAACAATTGTTTTGATTAGTTATTAATTTCTTATTATTTAATATTTTTTCTTCATTTTTCCTTTCTAAAAAATTTATTAATTATATATTTTTTCTTCAATATTTAAAAAGTAGTTGTTTAATTGGTGGTTAAGGTGCATCAAACTTAATTTCTGCTTTAGCATATTGCACTAATCTATCAAAATTTGCACTTAGTCTTGAGTAAATTCAGTTTATCTGTTTTGGATTGTGATATATATTTTTGCTTATAAAATTCAATTTAAAACAATAAAACTCTTTAATTTGTTTATTAGATTTGTATTTGATTTACTTTTTTTTCTATTTTATGTTACTCTTGTCTATTTTTCTTCTGTGTTTTCATAATTTAACTCATTTTTTTCAAAGTTTTCTTTTATTATTTATTTATTTATTTATTGATTTTTTACAATATCATATTTTTTTTTAATTTTTCCCTTCTAAATAATTTATTAATAATATATTTTTTCTTCAATATTTAAAAAGGAACAAAAGTATTTTTGATTATGGTGCATTTTAATTGGGTTCCGCTTTAGCAAATTGCACTAATCTCTCAAATTTGACACTTAATCTTTAGTAAATTCAGTTTATTTGTTTTGGATTATGATATATATATATATATATATTTTTTTTTTTTCGAATTCAATTTAAAATAATAAAATTATTTAGATTTGTTTATTTGATTTACTTTTTTTTTTCTTTTTTATTGCACTAGTGTCTATTTTTCTTCTATTTTTTCATAATTAAACTCATTTTTTTTCAACATTTGATTTAGATTTATTTATTCATTTCTTATTTTTTCTTCATTTTTCCCTCCTAAATAACTTATTAATTAATAATATATTTCTTCTTCAATGTTTAAAAAGAAACAATTCTATTCGTTGTTTAGAAGGATCATACTTAGGTTCTGCTTTAGCAAATTGCGCTAATCTCTCAAATTTGACACTTTATCTTGGGTAAATTTAGTTTATTTGTTTTTGATTGTTATATTTTTACTTAATAAATAAATTTAAAGCAATAAAACTCTTTTGATTTGTTTATTTGATTTACTTTTCTTTTTCTTTTTTATTGTATTCGTGTCTATTTTTCGTCTATCTTTTCAAATTTTAACTAAATTTTTCAACAAATGCTTTTATTATTTATTAATTCATTTCTTATTATTTCATATTTTTCTCTTCTAAATAACTTATTAATTATATATTTTTTTTTCAATATTTAAAAAGATTTAATTGTATTGTTGAGTCAGGCGCATCAAGATTAGGTTTTGCTTTAGCAAAATGCACTAATCTCTCAAGTTTGGCACTTTAACTTGAGTAAATTCAGTTTATATGTTTTGGATTTTGATATATGTTTTTACTTATAAAATTGAATTTAAAACAATAAAACTCTTTTGATTTGTTTATTTTTATTTTAATTTTGTACTTACTTTTGTATATTTTTCTTCTATCAATCTTAATTTAACTCATTTTTTTATTTTCAATATTTATTTTTATTATTTCATATTTTTTCTTAATTTTTTCCTACTAAATAACTTGCTAATTATATATTTTTTCTTCAATATTTAAAAAGTTCTAATTCTATAGGTGAAAAAGGTGCATCAAAATTAGGTTCTGCTTTAGCAAATTGCAATAATCTCTAAAAATTGAGACTTTAACTTAAGTAAATTCAGTTTATTTGTTAGTTATAAAATAAAATTTAAAACAATAAAACTCTTTTAATTTGTTTATTAACTTTTTATTTGATTTATTTATCTTTTTCTTTTTTATTCAGCTTTAATTTAATATAAAATAAAAGGATTTGTGGTTTATCAAAATCAAATAAAAATTAATTAAAAAGTAAGTGTCTTAAATCAAAAAGATTAGTTGTCTTAAAAATCATAATCTGGTGATAGTCAAGCAGTGAAAAAGGATGAATAAATAAAAAATATTAGAATAATAGAAAATAATATGTTTTGTTATATAAAATTTTTTAATAAGATAATTTATTTAACCTAAAATATAAAAAGATAGATAGATAGATAATATATAGATTTATTATTATTATTTTTATATTTATGAATATTAATTAACTTTTACTGAGTTAATTAATAGCTTATAAAATAAATAAATGAAAATTTACAATTAAATTTACTTTAATAAATGAATTTCTGTAAAACCAGCCCTCAGTTTTTACCAAAAACAATAAAAGTTTTAACCTTAAATATTATCCCATAACATATTAAGGATTAAATTGCAACCCCTGAATTTTTATTTATTATTTATTTGTCATGAGTAATTAGATAACATGATTGAAAACACTCAAATATATTTTTTTATTTTAACCTTGATGATTATTTATTCTACAAATGAGTGACTATTTTTACTAAGATTTTGAAATCAGGGTAGTGTAAAAAAAATTTATTTTACTTTGAAAATTTGAGAATATAAAAATTGAATAGAAAAATGAGATATATTGATATAAATTAAAATGATTAATATTATTAATTAAATTCTATTATAAAATTATTTATTTTTATATAAATCAAATTCAAACGCATCAGCCATTCAAAAATATAGTGATCTCAATTTACTAAATTTTTGAATGGCATTTGGCTATACTGTCAAAGTCTTATTATTTAATAAATAAATAAATAACAATTATCACTCATTTAATAATATTTGTTAAACTAATATGCATAAAATAAATATGACTGAATATCTTAAAATATGTATTAAAAATAGATTTCTTAAATTACTGCAAATTTATTAAATTCAAAATACTTCGCATAATTCATAAAAATAATAATTTTATATAAAAATATTTTGAATTAATTTATATTATTTTTTTGTCGATATTATTATTAATCTGAAAAATGTATTATTTAATTTTTCAATTAACTATTTCTCTGTATGAGATCATCTTTTCTTATCCCATAGCTTAAATAATAGAGATAAGAATATCTTTTTAGCTTTCAAAGTCACTTCTCAGTTTTTCCACCATTTGTAACTCA